ATCAAACAAGGGGTAAATGTATCCTAGTCTGAATTGAAGCTAGCTCCTCCAATTGCGAGCCAGCCAATAAAAAGTTAACAACGAGCCCTGTTGGCTTAGGTAGCATAAACAGGAACGTAAGAAAAAACAGAAACATGAGAGAGATAACAACGAGCCCTTGATTTGTTTTACAGGGTACGTACACTGTCAATAGAGATGGGACCTTGTGTGTCTGCGCGTCCCCTTCTTTTCTCCTATGGTACATGTTGTTTTACCCCCTTGTGATAGTTTTTTTCACATCTAACATTGGTGACTATTAGTGCGTAATCAGATGGTGTAGGTTTGTTCAATCTCTATCATTCTTGGGATCTAAAGAGATGAGTTTTTCGAAAAAGGAAAAAAGTGATGCATTTTGACTTTGATGGCAGTGATTGGAGTCCTAATCTGTAATTAAGGGCACAACGGCTCCTTGATTGACGTCAATGGAGCACCATCACAGTTCTTCCGAAAAATAATGTCTATTGTCCGGGTATTAGTTAGGGGCATAAGTAGAAAGCACGTGCACCAAAAACAATTAATACTGGAGGAGAGAATAGAGATGCTATATATTTTTATTTTTTTTGACTCCCACAAACAAGACATTCCAATTTCCATGACCATCCCTCTAAATTAGCTAGTTTTGTCTCTAACTCCTTCGATATATGGAATCAGCTCCACCCAACCGAGAAAGGAATTATAGATTGGATTGGATGCCAGAATATGTTCCTTCATGCTGTTGGGAATTATCGACCCAATATGGATTCATCATATTTGTGTACGTATATGTAAATTAAGCTCCTTATATAGCTCGAATTAATTTGATAAATTATTTTTGCCATCTACTTTTAGAAGGAAAAACAGGCCTCTAATATGTTCCCACCCTTGGAGAAATAAGGAAGTACCAGAAGGAAAAAAAATAAAAACAAAATCATATGAGAAAGTACAACACTCAATAATAAATCCCTCACAAAAGTAAAAATAAATAAATAAATAAAATGATTTTGTGTATTAACCCTTCACACCAGCATGCATGAAGTTAAATTACCACATGGAGCGTGGTTGTTTTGACTTTTGTGTGTAATAAATATAACAAATATTTAGGCAATTCCGTTGGGATTTCTCGGAAAGCTCATCGTGGTTTTTATTTTCTCCTGGAACATGATCGTGATCATGATCTCTCTCTCTCTCTCTCTGTGCCCCATTTTTAGCATACATGGGATCTGATCTGATCTGATCTGATCTTATGTCATCACGTCAAGCCAGTTTAGCTGCTAAGGTAACTATTGAAGCCAACTTTGCTAAAGTGAAAGTAGTCTAAAATTATGTGTACAAGCTAAAGGACGAAAACAGTATATTGGTTTTCTAAAAACGTGGAGTATGGAGCATTATACCTTCCGTATTTAGGATTCGAGAAATGCCTCTACATATTATTATATGGTTGAAGTTCAAATTAATTACTCGTCTTATAATAATAATAATAATAAAAAGGCTATAGACATCTTAATTTGTTATTATTTATTTACTTTTAATTTTGATAATAAAAATATTTTCGATTCAGTTTATATATCAATTGATAACCTCTTTATAGATGATATTAAACCATATTTTTTCATTGATATGATGCATTCAATTTTTTTTGTTTTTATATTTGTTTGATATTGACTTTATAAGTGTTTCATTGTTGAATTTTTATTATAAATTTATTGATATTCCATCGTTATTGATTCAAAATATCTAAAAATTAATAAAATTATTATTTATTTATTATCAATATATTATTGTTTACTGTCCAACTTCATTTTCCTAGTTGTTTTATGATGTTGTTTTATTGTTTTTAATGTAAAATTTAAATTAAAAAAAAATTAAAGAAACGAGCCACCCTCTTTAATTCCTAACCGTACTATAGCTTTATAAAAATTTTGACATTCTTGTCCATTATTGTTAGTACAGTTTTGACCAAAGCCGTTGCGTTGCTCGACAACTATAGTATATATTAATTGATAATATTCCTTCCTACGGTTTTGCGAGCTCATGTTAAACCCACACCCTCCTAAAATAAAGCTGATAATGGCAAATTCTATTCCCGTGCTTCTTATTCATCAATGCGTCCGATCCATTCCCACTAATGATGAATGCGGGATTATTCTCAAAAAAAGAAAAAAAAATGATGAATGATGATTCCTTGCCAACATCTCAAGCCAACTATTCCTTTTTTGGGTTGCGCTGTTAAATACTCCACGTCGAAAAAGGCTCACTTTCTTTAATTATTATTATCATTATTACTACTATTATTATCCACCACCAGTATATATACAATATCATTTTTTTTCCAGAAACACATATACTAATATATATTGTGTAATTGAGATGGGTGAATAAAAATGAGAAATATATACATATACCAGTGAAAATATTTTCCAAAAAAGAAAAAAGAATTTCATTAGTGGTGAGGCGGCGGCAAGTGGACAAAGTGCGGGTTCAGTTCCGGTATAATTGCTTAGCTACGAACATAGTTTTAAGCCTATATCAAATCTGTAATTTAAAGAGTGGAAACATCAAACAAACTTGAATTAGCTTGTAAGCAACAGAAACAAATTTCTCAACTCAGATAATTAACCAATCAACTTTTCAAGTTTTAATTTTATCTTTTTATATTAAAAAAAGGGTTCGAACTTGAATCCTTATATATATATAAATTTGAAAAACACTAATTTAAATTGAATTATAACTCATTCATAATTAATTTTCAAAGTAATTCCACTTCCATGGTAAATTATGATAACTAAAAAACCAAGCAAACAAAAGCAAATAGCCAGGGGTAGTTAATGAGTTACTTCGGATAATTACATTATGTTGAATGGGTATTTTTATTTATTCTTGAAGGATAGGATGAGTAGCGGAAACAGAAGGCTTACGGCGGGAAAAAAGAGGAAAGCTAAGGAAAAAAAGTTACAAAAAAAGCAAACACCAACCCGCTCTCTTTCTTTCACGCTTTGAATAACCTGTTTAAAACGTACAAAAAATGTTAGCATAAAAGCAAAAACAACAGAAACTCTCTGCTGCCTGTGCAGTCAAGTCTCTGAGAGAGATCGATCCTAACTTGTTCTAACAAACATCAATAATTGCTCTTCCAGAGCTAGATCTCTCCAACTCTCCCGCAACTACAGTCTACAGGTACATACAATATTCAATGTTTCTCGTTATTTTTGTTTTCAAAAATGAAAATATAGATCAAAATCATGTTTTTTGCTCTGTTGTTCATTTCGTTGTTTTTGAATTTTGCTGAAGATTGAAACTTCACAAATAATTGATAGTGCATGGAGAGGAAGCTTGTTTTTGTGGGACTAATGTAGGTAAAAGATGATCTGTTAGGTGATTACCTAGTTTCATTTAGTGTTAAGTTGTATTTTGGAATAAATTAAATAATTAGATCATTAAGAACGGAAGGTTTTCGTTTCATTTTCTTGGAGTTTCCTCCATTTTCTCGAGAAGCAAACAGAAATAGTACTAAAGTCGCTTTTTCTTTCTCGTTAATACAATAAATATTATATAGTGGAGAATCATTTTGCCTATGTGGACTCTGGAGTCTTCAGCACAGAGTCATTCTTTCTCTGCTCTCTACAGAAAGAAAGAAAGAAAAAAAAACACTACTGCAACTTTTAACCAGTGACGAGTTCAATTACCAAGATTACCCCACCTCTTGTTAGGAACTTTCATGAGTTTTTGGCATGGAGGGGTACAATGGTGAAAAAGCGTTTATTTTATGTAGTAAGACTAGCTGACTTGGAAGGGAAGGAAAGATTCTTTTTCTCATTAATGCTTGCACGTCTCCCAAGAAGTATTTAGCATAAATTGAAATTGGATTCTTTCTATCGTTGAAAAAACGAAGGAGAAAAAGGTGCATGTTTTGTGTTGTCGCTCATATATACTGGATTTAGGAGAACTGAACATGCACGATCGACCATGTCACTGTAAAATTTGAAGTGTCTCCATCCATATTCTTTCATGGTTTATGTCCAAATTGTACGTAAAAAACCAGGAGTTTTGTATGAAACTTATTTTTTTTACTAAAAATATTCATGTGAAGAGTAGTTAATTGATGAATTTTAAGTACTTGAGGGACCAGCCAAATTGAGACAGGAAAATTCTTTGGGGGAGTCAATCGAGACGAGATCCATAGTTGAGTAATATAATATGTGTGACTCGTGAATATGTTTCACTCGCAGCATCAATTTCGGGCGAGATGTTAATATCATCATTTTTTTTTAAAAAAAATGTTTTGAGTTGATATGCGAAGATTGTAAAATCCTATTAGCATTTTTATGAAAAACGCAACAACCTATAACTTGTAGTTAGGTTGTTTGGTGTTTGAATTTATTAGTACTGAATTGTAGAAGTGTACAGTTCATCTTCCGCCTGTTGGAAAGGAATAAAAAAAATTTTAGTTAAATGAAAAAGAAAATGAAGCGTGTGATTTTTGGGATTTTTGTGAGACTTTTTTTTTTTTTTTTTTCTTTTGGGTATTAAAAAGAAAATTCTTTTTATTTTTCTTTTATTTTTTTCCAATTTATCGTACTGGTATTATTCTAGCCTACTCCATGTGATTGGCACTGATTTTGCAACAGGAATAAGTACTGTCTGGTGAATATATTATGGGTGGCAGTGAAGCACTAACTGATTTTCAAATCACTACTCAGTAGTGGCTCAGAAGAAAATTATACCAACATAGATCTTGGGCTTGTTGTTATAGAACCCCAGCAAGACAACAAATTCTTCTTAACTTGGGCTCTTTATGTTTTCAAATATCAAACAGTTGTCTCTAATTTGTGTTGCAACATATTAGTGCACTGATTCTCCTTTCAATGACAGATCAGAGCGCATCTGTTTTGCATTGCAGAAATAGTAATGCATTGAAATCCATTGAGACGCTATGATACATTCATGCTTTATGTGATGAAGAGTACTGCTAGTTTGAAGGAGAAATGGAGAGCGGAGCAGGCATCACAAATCAGAGGCATGCCGTTGTACTCAAGGATTCATCATGGTTTGGCCAATTCCGGAATGGTTTCAATCCCTGGATGGCCAGATATGTTTATGGCTTGATCTTTCTTTTTGCAAATCTTCTAGCTTGGGCTGCTAGGGACTATGGCCGTGGTGCCTCAAAGACAATGGAAAGTAAGATTTCTCATTCTTTTAATTATTTAGCCGCTCATTTTGTACTTGTATGCTTATATTAATTTATGCTAAGGATGAGAAGAATTAAAACACCTACCTCCAAACTTTTTTTGTTTTGGTGCTTTATGTCACTGACATGTGATGCCATCATGTGTTTGGTGTTAAACTGGGTGCAGGATTAAAAGTGTGTGCGGGAAAATCTGACTGTTCTGGTGCTGAAGGAGTTCTGCGTGTGAGCTTGGGCTGCTTTGTATCCTTCAATTGTGACATTGATTCAAATTGTTTTTGCGCAGTGGTTTTCTCTAACACCAGATACAATCATACAAATGATCTCTATAGTGCTTTCCACACTTCTATTATAGTAAATTCAAGGGATTCCTTATTTGGCGAAATAGATGAATCTTGGAACTAAATTCCTTTACAGACTTTCTTACACCTTAATCACATGATAGATATTTTACATGATAATGTTTCTTTCTACGGTTGGTACTTCAAAGTTGCATGACTGCAGAGATGCATGGCATTCTGGATGGTGGACTGCTAAGATTATCTTGTGGATTGCCTCAACAATTATCACATTTTTGGTGCCCTCTGCCTTTATTCAAATTTATGGTTCGTGTCATTCCACATGATCTATCAGGCCTAAAAGCATCTCTCGTTTCCCTTCATCAATTCTAATCTAGGATTTCAATGTTTTGACAATATATATAATCATACATTGATGTGATTGTCTTCCTTCTTCTTAATTTTGCAGGAGAGATTGCACATTTTGGTGCGGGGTAATTCTCTATCCTGTTCTAAATTATTGTATCAACCAATAATCTTATTAGCGTTAGTTTATCAGGAAGCTGAAGGTGGTCCTTTAGTATTTTGGTTACTGAAATTGCTCTAAGATTTTTGTTTAGCTTTTCACTTATTCATTTCAGGGTGTTTCTCCTGATTCAGCTAATAAGTGTAATCAGTTTTATTCGATGGCTGAATGATTGTTGCCAATCTGAAAAAAATGCAGAAAGATGGTAAGACTCTGCAAAGCTAATGCAAATGGAATCTCTTTCTGTGCTTTTCTTAATTGAAGCATTTTGCCATGATAATTGCATTTTGTGCAGAGCAGAATTACACCTTATTCCTTGAATACCCAAACCAAGATCATGACCAACAGATTTAAACCTCATTCCTTGAATATCCAAACCAAGTTCATGACTGAAGTATTCATGTATTTCATCTAATAGGTCTATTGTTTAGTTTGGAATTTAGAAGGATTTATTCATCACATCTTTATTGTTACCTGTACAACCTTCTCGGTGAGGCTTGTTGCTCTGGTCAACTTGAATTATGTCCGCATAGATTCAGTTAGGCAAGTTGATGTCAGACCATTCCGGGAAAATTGTCCTACAAATTTGACATTTGAATTTTCATATCAGGAAAGTATCAAGAAATACCAGTTACCTACTCCTTCGTAGTTATTTCTCCTGCATCAGCTCTAATCTTATGTAATTTGACCTGCAGCCACATCCATGCAATGCTAATTGCAACTACTTCATATGTAGTATGCATAGTTGGGGTCATTTTAATGTACATTTGGTACGCACCAGAGCCATCCTGTCTACTTAACATTTTCTTCATCACCTGGACTCTGGTACTTCTCCAGCTCATGACCAGTGCTTCTCTCCATCCCAACGTAAAGTCCTACATATGCTTGCTTTCAGTTGATTGACGTTCTGACATACAATATAAAGTTACTAATTTCCTGCTGGAAACAGGTGAATGCTGGCTTTTTGACTCCGGGGCTCATGGGGCTCTACGTTGTATTCCTCTGCTGGTGTGCCATCAGGAGGTATGCTTGCTTATCTTTTTTATTTATTTATTCGCCTATAACTACTGTCTGTAAATTTATGCTACAGATAAATGTTCTTTAAAAGTGCCAACCTTTTAACACAATATGTTTGTGCAAAAAAACCTGCACTAGTCACTAATTGAAAGCCATCGGAGGGGTTCTGTAACTTACTGGCTTTACCCCATCCATACATTTCATAACTTCCCAAAAGCTTTAGAATGACAAATAACAGTAATAGTTGTATACCATTGCCTTAACAACCTGACGAGAACTGCACCAGAACCAAATATCTGATGCATTATGTTTTTGGTTTTTTTTATTTTTATTTTTTATATTCACTCCATCACTGAAGCAGAGCTTGAAACAAAATGTTTCTTTCTTTCGTTTCCTTTTATTTTCCTCAATGATAGAAATGGTCAAATTGAAACAATAGCGTTGGGTTATTACTACTTGCTTTTTTCCAGTAATTTGAATTTTGTTGCATTTTCGAGTTTGCAGTGAACCAGCAGGGGAAAGTTGCAACAGGAAGGCAGAAGCTTCAAGAAGAACAGATTGGCTTACCATTATAGTAATGTCAAGATCCTTAAAAGTATTTCATATAGGTTTTATACTTAGCATGTCTGGCCTAAAAAAGTAAAAAAAAAAAGGCGTCTGGAAAGGATTTTACATATTTCCCCTAAAAGTACATGTGAATTCTACGAATAACCATTGGCCTTAGGTAATCTAGACTTGGAGGATCTCTCAGTCTCAGTTTCTAAGGGGGAAGTCACAGATTCAACCTGCTGGAAAAGAGTGATATGGGAAGTGCTATTCACTTTCTTGATTTGTGGAAAGAAAAAATGAAAACGAATCTCATTTCCACGGATGTTAACTCCCGCATAAACCTATAAAATGGAGAAAAATTGACCTAAAAAAAATAGAACAGTGGAACAGTTGAGCATACTAATATTTATGAACCGTACTGTAGCTGCTCTGGTGCTGGGAAAAACTTTAGTTTTAAAAGCTTTTGTTGTCAGACTTTCTTTAGCATTTTTCCATCTCCATGACAATAGATCTTGTATGTTGACAGAGCTTTATTGTTGCACTGCTTGCGATTGTTATAGCCACATTTTCTACAGGCATTGATTCCAAATGCTTCCAGGTTTGTTCAAAAATCCACTGAACTTTTAATTGTCTATTACCACGACTTTCCGCAACTATTTGTCTGACAACGGCTGCAGTTCAGGAAGGGGGACACACAGGCTGAGGATGATGTTCCATATGGTTATGGCTTTTTCCACTTTGTTTTTGCCACAGGAGCAATGTACTTTGCGATGCTATTGATTGGCTGGAACACTCATCACATCATTGAGAAGTATGTTTTCTTATTACTAAAATTTATCCTCTTTATGTTCCACCTTGTCTTCTCATTCATTCTTTCTGCAATCATTTCAATCAATCTTAAATACAATCTTATAAGGTTTTTTTTGAGGTTTACCATGGAAATAAAGGAAAATTTGCTCTGGTGAAAATTGATACTGAACATAACATTTTGTCCTGTTTATTGAGAAGGCGGCATGAAGTTAATGTCCCTCGCCTTGACTTTGTACAGGTGGACCATTGACGTGGGTTGGACCAGTGCTTGGGTCAGAGTAGTGAACGAATGGCTCGCAGTTTGTGTTTACTGTAAGTATTTAAATAACAAAATAAATGAACGACTCTGCGCATATTATTGCTCTTATAATTGTAGTTTCATTAAAAGAAGCATTTTTGGATTATGAAACCATGAGACTGTAAAGCTCTTTGCCTGATCTCCAAACCATCATGATCATTACCTTCGACTTGATTCATATTAATTGGAATGAAGTAGAATTGCTCATGAAAGAAAATCATCTTGCAGTATGGATGCTGGGGGCTCCAATACTACTGAAGATCAAACAAGCAGCAGAACCTGTTTAAGACATACGGAGACTCTCCGAATCATTTTTCAATTGCTCCTTTCATCTGTTATCCAGATATGATAATCAAATGATCGGAGATAGAAGACACTCTAGTTTACTCAATAGACTTGAGCTAGAGCAACACAACACGTACTGACAGACAAGATTCATTCTTTTTCTTGTTCATTTTATTGTTGTAATCTGGCTTCGTAGAAATGGAAAAGAAAATGCATATAATTCAATTCTTTACGAAAGACGATATTTGTGAATATGCGACTAAAGAATATATCTTATAAGAATCGAAAGAAGTGTAGTTTCCTTCTTATGCTGATGAAGTAATCCTGTATTTCTTTATTGATTAATGAAAATGATTCATTAATCAGAGCAAAGAAGAAACAGGAGCCAATGCATGCTACAAAGATGAGATGATCATTTTTTTCCCCAAAATATATAAACATTTTCAAAAAAAAAAAAAAAAAAAAAAAAAAAAAAGAAAACTTGATTTTGGATCTCTTAAATATTTTTGAAATTTTTATTTGGTAAGTCATCCTACAATTAAGTGTAATATAGTCTAACTGGATTGAATCGAGAAAATTTTATAAACACGAGATAAATCTTGACCAAATCTTTCTAATGGGACTCATTCGCTTGTATGATACAAACATGTGGTTGATGTTGTGAGTTTTTGCCTAGTAAGAATTTCAATTTTTTTTTATTTTCTTTAATAATATTCATCATTTTTATTTTTTGCATAAAAATTATATTAATTTAGTTTTACATTATAATATTTAAAAGATGTAAATATTAAAAAAAAAAATCAAATGAAAATAATCGAGAACTAGAGTTAATAAAGATCCATCAGTATTGGTGGATACATAAAAAAAAAAAATGAATATTTGAAGTACACGCAAGAATTTAAATGATATTTCGATCATTCTATTAATATTGGAAACATATTAAAACCATCCTATACATATTTGGATTATATCAGGTGATTATAGCAAAGTCGGGATGGATCTGAAGGGCTGCGGTGAATGTTCTACTAGTGCAAAACGAACTTTCACCTGCCCAAAACGCAATTCTTCACAAACTGTTGCAAGGAAGCAGCTACAGCTAAGGTTCCAATCTAGGCTACGATGCCTGCTCACAATGACGAGTGATCAGGTTTTATCGCACCAATGGATTACAGAGAGGCAAACTTTCGGTATGCACAAGAATTTTAGAAACCACAAGCTAAGAGAATCCCCCTATGTCAAAATGATGGGATTGGCACTGGCAGAAACCAAAAAAACCAAAGGTATCTGACACAAAATCATCTTAATATTCCAAAATTATATGCGCATACAAACTGTACTGTAATGAGCGTTTCATAGACTTGGCAGACTCAACAGTGCTCACCACAATGATGAATAGATTACAAAACCATACACAGAAAAAATGATACAACTTGAAGAAACGGCAGACAACACACACGCATACAACCCAATGAACAATACAAAATATCTATGAACACTATAGCAGCATGAAAGACAAACCTAGATCCCCATGCTGGGGTTTAGGCTTCTAATCATAGCAGCTCTCTCTCTCTCTAAACTAAGTTTCTGACTGTTGCTCAGATGAACATGGGCACTCTTTAATTTGGCTGGATCAATAAATACAGCATCTGAAACCAGAACTTTCCATCCAGCAGCACGGTAGGGAGCAAAAAGTTGATGCTTTTTCCCTAAATTTGGTTCAAAGGAACTTTTTCTTTCATCCAAAAGGATTTCCTCCAACAGGGGAGAAAGGCTGTGGGTTTGGAGGGGCAGAGAATCTACCAGCCACCTGTTGATCCATATTTACGGCACCATCACTGCCAAAGCCACCTCCTCCTTGATACCTGACGCCACCAAATAAATAAATAAATAAAATAAAAGATAAACAACAGATTTAAAAACCTAACAAGTAGAAGTTTTATATTGGCCAATAAAAATCTTCCAATAATTACCACAGATAATTCTAAACTTCAGACAAAAAATTAAACCTTGTGGTGGAATATTTAATGATTGGGAACGAACAACTAATTTGAAGCTATACCAACCATTATCAATCCAGTCCAACTAAATAAATAAATAAAATAAAATAAAAGATATCAACGGATTTAAAAACCTAAACAAGTAGAAGGTTTATATTGGTCAATAAAAATCTTCCAATAATTACCACAGATAATTCTAAACTTCAGACAAAAAACTAAACCTTGCAGAGGTGGAATATTTAATGATTAGGAACGAACAACTAATTTAAAGCTATACCAACTGTTATCAATCCAGTCCAACTAAACATTCAACAAGCCAGTCACACTGACCCTTGTTGGTAAATGAATGTAAGGCTTTTATTTGTTATATGGCTTTGGTGAAATTACAGTTCTCTAGAAATATATTCCCCTTCCTCTCATACAGATCCCAGATCCTCTTGTTATCACTCTACATTATTGTGAGAGAGGAAGCCCCCGGAGTACACAGCTTTGTGCAATAAAACTAGCAACAGATGTGAACAGAAAAGGTCAAAACCAAAAAGCATACCACAACACAGCTGGTTACAAACAAAATTCTCAATGACTATAAACTTCGAAAAGTAGGGAAGACATTGTGAAGATAATATTCAGACATAAATAAACCAAGAAAAATAACTTACCCTATGAATGGCATGCTACTTGGTGCTTGTTGAGCCACAAATGCCCCTGAGATTTTTAAAGAACTCAGCACAAGATAAAGAGCAAAGCAGCGTGAAGAAAGATGCAGGACAGAGAACAGGATTTTAATTATACTTGGAGGTATTGATGATGAATAAGATGGCGCCTGTGAAGGAAATGTTGGTGGATAAGGAGATGACTGGGATGACATCCATGCTGGTGAGGGAGTACCAAGACTGGAAGTACGCTGTATGCCCGAAGAAGGTGGCATATTTGGTAGAGCAGCATGTAAGGATGTCATGGAAGGAAACTACATCACAGGGACCACATATCAGGGAAGTGACAAACAGATTGATATCTAATGATTTTCAACAATTTTATTCCCTGTTCTGTTATTGTTAAAATTGAATCTGAAAGAAGCACACTTCCATACATGCACTTAGTGACAACATTGTTTTCAGCATTATAGCATTTACTGCAGACTAATTCACTAAAATAAGACCAAAGGATTTGCACATATTGACTTCTAAAATGAAATAAAGTATTACATACATGCTGGGCTTGAACTGGTTCACTGAGATCAAAAGGGTTTGATGAATTTGATGGCTGGAGAAAAGTTGCCATAGGCTGCAGTTAACAGAAATACAATTATGAGCAATCAGTCCGGGAGTTGGGCAGACAGAACAGTAAAACAAGGAAAAGATTGACTCATTATGTTTGGGTTAATAAGCATACCGCTGGAACACTATTATATTGCACAGCAAACCCCATACCACGGGCTGGACTTGTTTGCCACCCTGGAATTGCTACAGGGTAAGAAAATGTAGCAGCAAAAAGATCCTGCAGATAAATTCAGGATTCATTGAAGAAGTATGATGCAACCATAAAAACTATCCACATATCTGATGAAGCCTCATAAAATAATGAAACAAAACTGAACAGAAAAAAGCAATTACCTCAGGCAGTTCTCTTCTTCCAGTTGGTTTTACTTCCACAGCTGACAGTTGTGATAGACCAGCAGACGTGACACCTGATGCAGGTTTTGAGACAACTTGAGCTCCTGCATATGGTGTAGCCAAAGACACTTGCACATTTGAGGCAGGAGACATGTTCCAGGTCTGCCAAAAAGACCCAGGAGGTCAGGACAACGAAGTAAACATACAATGTACGACAACATACGGCACAAAATTCACAAAAATGACACTAGCAGGCTCACCTGATTCCTTGAAGCTACATCAAATGGTGGTGTAAATTGTGGAGCAGTAGAATGACCAGTAGAAACAGGGAATAAAGAAGGTTGCTGATGCTGCACACTAGGCCATTGCCCCGCTTCTGTAACATTGGCAAATAAATTACCACCATTGACAGGCACAGCAGGTGCCAATCCTGGGGCAGCTACTGAAACACCACCAGGATGTAAAGTTGACAAGTTACTAACTGGCGTAGCTGCAGGAGCAACGGAATTAAAGGGCAACATAGATGTGTTCCCTGCAGGTGCAAAAAAGGAAGCACTTGTTGCATTGCCCACAGCTGCTGTTGCAGGAGCACTGGGTGCCAATAAATGACCAGGTCCATGTACAGGAACTGAGAGTTGTGAGAGAACAGATTCCAGGGGATTTGCATTTGTAGGAGCCTGAGATGCTTTATTATCAGGGGCCAAATCAAAAGATGCCCAATTGTTGTCATTGGAGGCACTTGCAGGCTGTGCAATTGATTGAGGTGTTGTAGTTTGTTGTGCTTGCGGAATTGATGCAGAAGTAGGAGGTTCAGGATCAGCATCAAAATCAATTAAGCTTCCAGTATTCTCCAATTTAACTTCCACTGGATTCCCATTAGCGGATCCCAAGCTACTGGAAGATGCAGTTCGCTGTAATTAAAAGCAACAATGCTCTAAGACTGTTACTTATTCTTTTTCCCTTAACAGTTTGTATTGTTTCCAACCAGAAGAAATTTAAAACAACAATAAAAATTAAAAAAAAAAAAAAAGCCAAGGAAATCCAGAAAATAAAAGATATTAAAAGCAAAGATCAGAGTTAAGCCTGTGAATACAGATGTGAGATATCTCTTTAAAGATCATATCATTCACTCTTCTGAATTTCTGTGAGAGGGAAGAGGGCATACAGATGATTTCCAAGTAAGACAAAACTACTTTGGAAAAAAAAGAAAAAGGAACGAGTTATAAGGAAAAGCAAATAATGGAAGAAAGGCAACAGACCATGTTTTTACAGAGAAGGATAAGCCGATCCAACCACAAAGCTAGACAGTAATCTGTGAGATCAGAGATCATAGCGGATGTTTTCGTGTGTTTTTCTTTATAAAGAAGAGTTTATACTATCTGTTTATATTAAGTTTTGATCGAGGCAGGTTGCACTGGATCATAATTGAATTGCTTGCAACTCAAATTAATTCAACTTCGAACATAGATTATGAGATGGATGGCACCAAAAAGTTGCATGTTAGGTTCTACCAGGTGTCATTTGAAGGTTGCAATTTCTAAGAACATTCACACATCATAAACAAATCCTGAGAAAATTTTCAAAAAGAATACTGGTATTAATTTTTTTTTTTTTTTAAAGGTTTGCAGTGAAAAGGAAAACTCTAAAACATCAACTTTTTACATGCATGGATTTTTCCAAAATCATTACTAGCCTTTGACTTTCTCCATATCTCCCATGAGCTTTTCCATTAAACAATTTTGATACCTTGCAAAGCTTAAAGAAAGATACAATGTACGGATTTTAAACAACATTAAATGCACTGAAGGAACATTTTGTTTGTAGATGTTACAGGAATAGCGATTACCTCTTTTCTAACACATTCAAGGTTTTTAGGTCTTAGCGCAGTATTTAGAATGTTTTCTCAGTCAGAAACATACAATTAGCACTCTCTCATGCACACACAGACAGGCATCATCTAGCAACCTGAAAATACAGAAAAAATAAAGAAAAGAAAAAAGAGCTTTGTAGAACTAGTTTTCCTTCCTTTGGGATTATGACTAACCATAGTCCACCAGGATAACTTGGGTTTCCGGAATTCAACCCTGCAACTGAAGCCGACAAACAAACTCCAACTAATGAAAATGGGTTCACAAACTCTTGTTTAGTTTTAATCAACACTAGAACTCAACATGCAAAAATAGACTTTTTGGAACTAAGCATAAGTCCAGGAAGATGGAAAACGCACTAACTATAGAAGATTTGTCTGGCAAAAGCATAGATGCAATAATTTTTAGAATCTTGAGCATCTGAGCAGTGGTGGATTGTGGAGCAAGTTAGAAGTGGACAAAAGCAGCAGAAACAAGAAAGGAAATTTGCATAAACAGCTTAAAGGAAGAGAGATTTACCTGCGCCTGTGCAGTTACATCAGCAGCCCTTGGAACATTGGCTTTTGGAGGTTCGCTTATACGAAGAGGCACTACATTATCTCCCAAAATCTCCCTGACAGGACGTACCATGGGAGGACTGGAATTGTTCTCTTTTGGCCGCTCAGGTGACATGCCTTCCAGTTTCGAATCTCCATCTGATATTCTTCGGTCTTCCACTTTCCTGCCATTTCCAAATCTATCCTCCCGACGCCAATCATTGATAATTTCAGGATGAGCAGGACTTCTTGTGTTACTAATATATTGTCGACTTTCTTGATCATATCCAGGACTTCTTCTCTCATCATAACTATATCTCGAGTATTTATCATCACTTCTTCCTCCAGGGCTGGACCTTTCGCTGTAACGACGCTCATATGTATCCTCATATGGTGGACTTCTAGACCCTCCTTGGTATGCGTCAGTTCGCCTATTGTCATAGAATTCTTCTTTGTTATCCTTCATGGCATTAAAAGAGAAGAGTTTTTAAAAGGAGATCCAACAAAAGCCAAAACATATTTATTGTCAAGGAAGTAATAAAAAAAAAAACCAAAAAAAACTATTTAAGTTCACTTCTACAAACATTGGAATACCTTGTCAATACTAGCAATAGTATCAAGAAAGATCAAAACTGGGGAGAGGGCATCTTACCATCTTCGTACTTGGAGGCTTGCCATGGTTCCTCTCACCAGTATATCTTCTATCCACATAAACATGTTTAATAAAGTCTCGAAGCCTCTCAACATTACTGGCAGCAAAAAAGTGAATCAGAACTGCAATCTTTATTAAGATGTCAAAAGCAAAAATACACAAGTATAACCTGCTGTCAGGGGCAGACTGACGTTGTGAATCCCATTCTTTAAAATAAATATCCCTTGCACGCTGAGAAAATGAAATGAGATAGAAAACAGTCAAAATTTACAAACAAGGAGGAACTCTTTTTTTTTGTTTGGGGTGGGGTTGGGTGGGGGTGGGTGGGTGTATTTTACCTGATTTCCTCCTCCTTGAAGAGCAGCAACTTCTTGTGAAGAAAATTTGGCCATTGATACTGATTTTACTCGATGTGTAAACTCCCGACTACAGATGGAATGGCAAGTTAGTACAAGCAACTTGATCTCTCGCTCACTCTCGCAGAGCTCTCTCCCCAAAATTACCCACAATGAGAAGCATCTCAAGAAATACTAAGAAACACAGATATGAACAACTGAAAGAAAGTAGGAAGCTGCAAAGACATTAGATGGCAATGTATAGCAACGCATATTCATACTCACTGTATTCCACTACAGGTTGTGCAAACAAATGTCCAGAAGTTTGTGCAAACATATTGAGGTCCCTGATCAATTGAAAATATATCAGCACTGTTTTAGAGGAAAAAGTGCCAGTTTTCCCCAGAAGGAAGAAGTGTAAACAGATACACTACAAATCTCATGACACAAGTATCTCAACTACATAAACTACATTTTCAAATCAATGTTAGGACATACAGGAAGAATAATTCACTTTCCTATATTTGCTACAGAGCTGCAATCTTCCACTCATGAGCAAGCATCTAACATTAGATAAATTTCTTGGTTGCAAATCCATCAATATAATAATTGCAAAACTGTGGTGCAATAGCAGAATTGTTAAATCAGACAATATTTTGCAACAATAACATGAGCACAATTCAACAGTAAAGAATAAAAACAAGCAATGCATAGGAATGCCACAATTAGCCTCTCCTACACATGAATGAGGCTCATACATGTGCATTACAAAAACGAGCATGGTTGAACAGTCAGATAGTTGTATCTGTTTACAGCATTTCTCGGGTTAAAGATTGTCTTGCTTACAGTGTCACCATAGTTTTTCTTTTTTTCATTTTGAGTCAGGGTTTCACCATAGGATAAATTCTGTGTTAGTAGAAATCAGCTTCCTAAAAGCATCACAAAGGCTTTCATGGTAAGATAATTATACAAGCTCAAGATGCAGATCATAACATATTTCTACGAGTCCTTGTAAAGATTTGATCTCTAGTCCAGAGTTCATGTAATTTCAAATTGCAACATAAATTATGGATCATTTGAGAACCACCACCAACTCCCATGTCCACCATACAACTCAGCTCAGCTAAGACCAAACTAACATGACTAGGTATCATCTATTATAATTCTCTATAATTGTAATGGAAATGAACACATGCATGTACCAAAAAACTCTAGGAAAACGTACAAAAGTGTATCCGTTTGGACATTTTACATTCCACTGACAGATTTTTTTCCAACACTTAGTGACTTGTATATTTTTCCATTAACATTGTCTTTAAATCTTCAAGCAACAGTAGATATTCCTAAATCCAAACAATAGATTTAGCAACATTTCCAAAAAGTTGAAAAAACAGTTAGTGAAACAAACGAAAAAATATAAGCGGCACAAACTGATACTTTATCTTCCTTTTATTCTGGCAGTGTTATGGACATTATTAACAAATTAATTTCTTTTTCTTTTTTTCCCCCTTGCCAAAGAAAAATTAAACACCTCTCTTGTTTTCAATGGAATGAAGGGCAAGAAAAGTACAAATCAATCGAGTGAAAAAAAAAAAAAAAGAAGTTAAATTTAAAAACAGTCACTTAAGTGCAAAATGGCCAAATAGCCAAATATCAGGGGCTTTTGCACTTTGCCCAAATATCTACAAATCAATTACATGGGAAGGAATCATTTCAAATTATAATCTCATAATTTTTAAACCGACATCATCTCAATTGCATAAAGTTGTAATAGGTAAGCAATAATCATGGAGGAAGTTCACTCATTTCTTTTCCATATCTACAAATCAAATGGATGGTAAGGAATAAATTTATTGAAGTCCATCACACTAATAGTTGGATTCCCATAAACCATTCTTTGGTAAATATGGATTTGAGAAAAGCCTATATTAAGAAGCATACAGCATTTCTGAAGCCCACCAATGCACAAACGAAATGGACCACTTGTTAACAATTCCACTAACTCATTTTACTTATTCAGAACAAACATTGCAAGCATTTAACAAATTCCTTAGCAATGCATAAACTCATTCCTACTTTAGATTATTTCAACAAACAGAGTTAACAAATTATCAAAATTTAACTCAACGAAACCAACTCCAGCGCACCATTCAATTTCTTAATTAACAACAAATATCCAGTTTCATTAATGAATAACACGAGAAATAGCAATGCTAATAATGTGTAAAAAAAAAAAAAAAAAAAAAAACCATACCAGACTGTTACAGTTAATACATCTGCGATTCTCGGCAAGTTTGAGAAGTCCGCGAATTATCCGCTCATTTTTTTCATCCTCTTTTAGTCGATTCGCCATTTCTAGTACCAAATGTCAAGAAACCCTTGAATTAATCTCAAAAACCATTAACTAAACACTGAATCAGGAAATCTTGTAGGGAATTGAAAAAAAGAATCCAATAAAAAACAATTCTTTTCAATTTCACGTATTGTTAAGTTGATGCGGAGTAGAGCAGACTAAAAATAAATCAAAATTGAGAAAACAAAAAACAAACTATCCTTCTGCCTTGTGTACAGTTACTAAGTAAGCAAGCAAAGAAACGCGCATAAAACGACACAGTGAAGCATCTAAAAACGACGGATCTGAAGGAAACAAAACTAGCATGACAAAGTGAATTGCTCAAGAGACAGCTCACAATTCTAAAAATAAACAAGAAGTAACAGACCTGGAATTGGGTAGGGAGAGAGACAGATAGAATTGAAGTTGCTCTGCAGAAAGTTAATTATAATCAGAGATCCAACGATGGATTACAGAGAACGAGAAAAGAAGTAGAGATTTACAGCAGATCTTTTTAGGGGCGTGCCTAGAACAGCTAAGAGCGAGCCAAAGTCTGCTTTTTCCCAAAATAATAATAATAATAATAATTAAGATAATAAAAATAATAATGTCGTAGAATAGAGAGAGAGAGAGAGAGAGCAGGGGGGATAGTGTAAGAAATTGTAAATACTTCGTTTTTAACCCTGTTAGTATCGTTGATATTCCACTTCAACTCTTGTATTTTAAAATTTCCCAATTTTATGCTTAAAGTTTTCTTAAAGTAAAAATCCAATGTTAACCCCCCACATCAAATTTTTCTACCCTTTGAGTTTGAATTTTTTTTAGTTTTTTAAATAATCTGGGAGATATCATAACATGTACACAATTTGAGAGGAAAAAATAAGTTAAAAAAATTTCATTAATTATTTTATAGTAAAGGACAAATAAACTTGAAACCTTTCAAAAACTACAAGATAGGTTTTTTTATCACTTCGAGCTTTGGTTTTGATTCTATTTTACAACCCAAATTTATATACGTATTGTTAATTGTCATGTTTTCATATATATTAATTATAGGATAGTATGGAGAAACTATAAAATATATAGTTGAATTGGAATACTGATGAATATATAAGGACCAAAATGTAGTTTACTGTTTTACGTTTGGACACATACATGGAACGGATGGGGAGAGACTGCTCTTTCTGACGGCATTTACGGGTCTTTTTCTTGTTGCTTCGAACCTTCAAATGGTCCAAGCCTCAGGTCGTACAAGGCGACTGGTTAACAGCTATTAGTCGTTAATGATTGCTCCTAGTTGTTTGCAAAATTACGTGACTAGTAATCCCGGATTTACAGCAGTAGAGGAACTTTCTAATGGGTTAGCAATCCGTGTAGTCCCTATACTACTAAAATTTATTTAATCAAATCTCTTTATCTATCTAAGAGTTGATTTAATCCTTTTATTCATCAATTTGATTAATGTCTTCTCTCGGTTAGTAACTCTATTAATGAAGAACCATAACCTAACTGATGATAAATATATTTTTTTATTTAAAAGTTGACTATATTTTTAGTTATATCAATAGGTATAATGATTATTGTTGTATTTAGAAAAAAAAAAAAAGAAGAAAGAATTTTATTAACTTGTAGGGTTAAAAGTTAGATGGATGACATTAACACTTTATAGCCTTATTTTTCAAAAATTATATTTTACACTATTCTTTTTATGACAAAATTTTCAAACTGATAAATTATGAAATGAGAACAATACACTTATATATATATATAATTAGACTCTATATGTCAGCTAGGCATAACCCATTTTATTCTTAAATTTTGTTGCTCTCTCATGTTCTTCTCTCTTTTTGAAGAGAGATGAACCTAGAAGAAAACATTGAATTTAAAAATTAAACCTCTTGAAATCATTTTTTTCCTTGTGTGTTTGATTAAAAATTTATGTTGTTGTTTATAGTCAAATAGAACGATTTGAAGTTGAAATAAGGTATGTGAAGCATATCATAATTTTTAAATTTTGAAAATACAAATATTTTTAATCCATAAAATATTGAGATCAACATTACATTTATCTAATCCGAGCGAAACACATAAATATTTTGGGTGTTTTGAAGGTTTTAAAAATTCCAAAAAAAAATGTAATTTTTAAAATATTTATTTATTTTTATTTGAAACAACTTTTTATCCTTCAATTGGTTGTTGTTTCAAGCAAAACACATTAAAAAATTGAGGGTTTTAAGGTTTTTTAAGCGGTTAATTTAAAAATCCCCAAAAAAATCCAAATTTTAATTTTAATTTTTATGTCATTTTTGTTTTGTTTTGTTTTTGCTTTTTTTTGTGTTTTCAAATGATAGAATTTACTTTTGTGACATGGGTTTTGTGTTTATTAGGGAAATTTTTGGTTAGGTGAATGGTTTGATTGGTGCGGTTGTATATGTTTGTTGTTATGCTTTGGTTTGCATGCTTGATGTGGTGTGGCCATTTTAGGATCTTTCTATTCGTTGTTAGTGATTTTAAGTGGAGAAAATTTATTTTTCATTTTTGTTTGTGAATTTTAGTTTTGTTTGGATGATTGAGTTACAATGTAGGTGTAGTAATGGAGTCTTTCTACTTGTATTGTTTCCTTTAAAGACTAAAAAAAAAAATAGAGAATTGAGTCTTACTGCTTATTTTGATTTAATGTTATTTACGGATTCAAGACAAGGTGAAGGAGAAGAAATAGCTCTTC